GGCCGCGCGGAGGAAAAGCCCTTGGCGATCGGCCCACGGGAGGCCGCTGCTCGGGAAGCAGACCCCGCAGGGCGCCCAAGAAATCCCCTGTTCCGGAAACCGGGATAGGCGGGGGACCGGAGAGGAGGCGCCCCGGGTCGCCAGCCCGCTCGTCACGTGACCACGCGGAGCGGAAAGCCGGAACGGGCGGCGACGCCTACGCCAGGTTGGCCCGAGGCCTGGGGAGGGGCGGGGCGAAGTGGAGGAGGGTTGCGCCTGCGCCTTGGGGCGCCCTAGCCCCTCCTCTTCCGGATGTCCGTGGGCAAAGCCGCCCCTCCCCCGGAAATGAGGTAGGAAAGGACAGTCAAGGACCTGGGGTGATAAACCTGTCGATTGCTAGGCACAGTCGTGGGATTCCCCAAAAACTCATTAGCTGGGAGAAAAAAAGAGGAGGGGACAAAGGCCCAACGGAGAGAGGCTCTAATGAACGTTTCTTTTATTTTAAAATTTCCAAAGGGAAAGCTTATTTCAAAATAAATTCTATATCTACCGCCCCAGGACGTTGTGTTGTTGCTATCGTTAGTTACCCTAGATCCACTTAACTTTTGTTAAGATAAAAGTCATCTTTATTCTCAGAGGCTTGGTCTGTAGCAACCGGGATGTGGCATTGCGGGCGCCGACTCAGAATAGTGACTCAGCTGAAAGTAACTGCTGCGAGGTCTTGCAGCCAGGACACTTGTTTGTGCTTTCTGTTAGGGTTTTCGTCAAAGTAGTCAAAGCCCATGTTTTAAAAACCCAGTACAGTAGGGTTTGTAATGAAATGCAACAGCGCCCCATGCCCAAAGGGAGCAACTTTTAACTAGTTGCTAAATAGCTGGCAAATAATGCTTGAATGCTGCTCTTAAATTATTCCTTTTCGTTATCTTTTGACTTTATGACACAGTAATAAGACACCAGCCTTTGCCCTCCCAAACGTACCTTTGTAACTTTAAAAACTACACTGAATGTTCTTTTTAAAACGATATGCTAAGTTCTCGGTTCCAATTGCATCAGCTTACAGTTAACTTAGTGTCCAGACCATGGTTAATAACTGTAGAGGCATTTGCCTCAAATTTTAATAAGAGAGGGGGCCCCAAAATGGAAATAGTCACGATAAGTAGTATTTCAACGCAACATTTTAAAAGTCCAAATTAATCACAACAGTACCATGGTGAACAAAATACAAAATTGTTAATTAGGACAGGATCAGTATACATTTCAGGCAGCAGTGTTACTCAGTAAGACACACTTCCTGGTGCAGCCCAGTTACCTGGGCAGGACGCTCCGGGAAAAGCGAAGAAACACCAACCGAAGTCAAAGGACAGCAAGGTCAGTTAAGGCAGTAAGATAGGGTGAAGGCTCTTGGCGCCCAGGCTGAGGGTAGGAGTAGATGCTTTTGTTTCTCACTCTTTGGTGAATCCATTCAATAAAGATTTTACCAACCAGCAAAATGACGGAAAGCTGAAACAGGCTCACTCCTCTGTCTATGACAAAGAATTTGGGCAACAGCTACCTGGCCAACTGGAAGAGATGTGCATTGGTGCCTATTCAAGAAAGGTGATCCAACCGCATGCAGAAATTATCGAATGGTGCCCCTAGTAGTACAGGCAAATGAATTTTGCTGACGATATTTTAAAATGGTTGTCGACAGGGAACTGCCAAAAATGCAAGCTTGATTCAGGAGAGGAATGAGGGACATCATTGCTGATATCATGGATCTTGGCTGAAGGCTGAAGACACCATAAAGATGTTTACCTGTGATTTATTGCCTATGCAACTGCATTTGACTATGTTGATCATAACAGATAATAGATAACATTTTTAAGAGTGGGAATTCCAGAACACTTAATTATGCTCATGCAGAACCAGGGCACATAGACCAAGAGGTACTCATCCCAGCGGAAGGGGAGGATGCAGCATGGTTTAAAATTAGAATAGTGTTGTGCTTGACACCATAGATGTATGCATAGATTGTCCTAAGAGCTGTAAGAGCCCCCAATAAACTGATTTTTTTTTTATTAGAAAGGGGAAATCAGGGTTGTACCTTTTTAACCATACTTATTCAATCTGTATGTTGAGCAAATAATCCAAGAGTTGGACGATACGAAGAAAAACCCGAAGTAAGGAATTGAAGACGATACAACCTTGCTGGCTAAAAAGCAGAGACATCTTGAAGTTCTTACTGATGAAGGTTAAAGGCTACAGCCAACTATTTGTATGGATGACAAAAATCCTCACAATTGGGTCAATAAACAGCATCACGATGAACAGAGAAAAGACATAACGTTGACAAGGATTTCATGTTACTCGGATCCACAATGGAATCCCATGGAAACAGCCATCAAGATATCAAATGACAGAGCATTGGGTAAATCTGCCTCAAAAGACCTCTTTATGTTGTTAAAAAGCAAAGATGTCATTTTGAGGACTGCGGTACCCTTGACCCGTGATAGTACTTTCGGTGCTGGTACTCTCATAAGCACGTGAGAGCTGGGCGGTGAATAAGGACAAAAGCAGAATTGGTGCACGTGAGTTACGGTTCTGATAAAGAGTACAGATGGTACCATGAACCGCCAGAGAAGGAACAAACCTGGCTGAGAAACAGTAATGCCAGAGGCTCCTTGGAAGGAGGGTGGTGAGACTTTGTCTTGAGTCCTTGGGGCATGTTGGTCAGAGGGCTGGGTCCATGGACAAGGCCATCGGATCTGGTGAAGTGGAGAGTCAAGGATGGGCTGACACGTGACTGTAACAGTGGGCTCCGGTGGGGGAGGGAGGGAAAAAAAAGAGCTGATACCAAGGGCTCAAGTAGAAAGAAAATGTTTGAGAAGGATGATGGCAACATAGGTACAACTGTGCTTGACACGATGGATGGATTGTGATAAGAGCTGTAAGAGCCCCCCACGAAATGATTTATTAAAATTAAAAACAACAACAACAATGGGCTCAAACAGGGCAATGATTACGAGGATGGCGTAGGACCCAGACAGTGTTTCCTTCTGTTGTGCATAGGGGTCACTGTGGGTCAGAACCTACTTGATCCCGCCTAACAGCAACAATGGAGACAAGATATTAAGTCTAGGGGCTTTAGCGGGGAATAAGACAAGATCCCTACCCTCGTGGAGCTGATGGTCTGGCAGGAGACGTTGGCATTGACATGAACCAAGTAAACACGCCACACTGTGTATTTGAAACTGCATGATGTGCTAAAATGCCCTGAGACTAAGGTGAGGGACGAAGTGGAGAAGGACAGCTTAGATGGAGGGATAAAGGGATGGCCTTGCACAGGAAGAGGCCTGTGAACTGGGACCTGAATGTGAAGGGACCAACCACGTGACCGTTCTAGAGGAAGACCGCTGACGCTGGAGGAGGAAAAGCCTGGTGGTCAAGTCCTCAGGAGACTGACCTACAGTGACAGGAAACAGGAGCCAGCTCCCTGCGGTGTTATGGGTCAAGGTGGAGTCACTGGAGTTTAACAGGTAGTCCATTGTAGGCAAGGAAACATGACCTGCTGTAGCATTTTAAACATTTCACAACGAAAACACCTGAGAGACAGAGGGAATCACGCAAGGGGTGCCCCTCTGCTCCGCCTCCACTCAGTGATCAACTCTAACTCCTCACACCCACATTAATTTTAAGCAAAGCTTGCATCATAGAACCACAAATTCTGTGACTACGGAGGTATCTTTAAAATACCTTTAGCATAATCATACCTGGAAACGTCAATAAAAATGTCTTAATATCATGGAATCCAGTCAGTATTCCAATCTCCCCAGTTGTTTCGCTGAGTTTTCTGTGGACTTCCCTATAATCCGGGTTTTACCATTTCACTGACTCAGTGACGCTTCAGCACAGGGTGGAACTGCTCCCATGGGCGTCTATGGCTCTGACCTTAGAGGAGTAGAAAGCCTGGTCTTTCTCCCACAGAGCAGCTGGCAGAGTCGAACTGCTGGCCTAATGCCTAACCCACTCCGCCATCAGGGAGAAAGCCGAGGCTCTCTACTCTCCTACAGGGTCACAGTCCCAGAAACCCCTGGGGCAGGTCTACCCTGTCCTATAGGGTCGCTGCCAGTCCAAATAGACTCGATGTAAGTGAGTTTGGAGTTTTTGATGGTAAAACCAACAGTTCAAAACCACCAGCTGGTCCCTGAGAGGAAAAAGAGGCTTGCTACTCCTGCGAAGGGTTAGTCTCGGAAACGCCCAGGCCCAGCTCTCCCGTGTCCTCTAGGCTTGCAGTGGGTCCCCATCGGCTCGAAGGCAGCGAGCTGAGCGGAGCGCGGACCCTTTACATGCTCCTCTTTCTCTTAGCTGTTGGTTAGGCCTGAAGTCTTCATTATGGTGATATGAGTGTCTTGACAAAAATCCCTCCTGTTGTAAATGACCATCCGGATTGTCATAAAGGGAATGGAAAAGGGCTGGGCAGGGGTAGAACGAAAGACCGGCTATAAAGCGATTGCCCTAGTTCAGGAGAAGAGATGACGCTCAGGCCACGGTGGGGACCTTGGAGAGAGAGGTAGACACGTGGACAAGTTCCGCGCATCGAATTCTCTGCCTGGAACTGGGACCTTCAGTCTGTACAAGAAGGGCTGAGCCCCAGAGAGGCAGGGTCATTGTACAGCCGTTAAGGCACAGTGGGAAATAAGGCTGTAGGTTTCATACTCCCAGTTCACAACGGCTTTAATAAAGCCAGTGTTCTGGTAGTTGAGGGTGTTATTACAGATAGGTGTCGCAGAGGTTCTCCTTTTTGGTTCAACATTGTTTTAGTGATCTTGAAAGCAGGTACCGTCACGGGGAACAGCGTGTGCTTTACAGAGAGCCAGCGTGCCGAGGGAAGCTCCAGGGTTGGGGCTGTTCTTGGCCCCCTCCACCTTGCCCTGCTGTTCCATCTCAAATGAGCGTTCTTGTCAGAGGAACTAAAACAACACATCCCAAGAGGAAAATGGAATGTGGCCTCCACAAGCACACGCGTGTCAGCACTGGGCACTGGACTTGGCTCTGCCTTCCCCTGTGACAGCGGAAGCTGTCCCCTGGGTCCTTCCTCATTCGTCATCTCCAGGTGTCGATTTGGGACCCTCCATGAGCAGAAAGGGGGTCTTGCTAATTCTGCATGCCCGGCACAGCGCCCAGTGCTTGCTCAGCAAGTCTCTGTTGAATTAATAAGTGGCCCATTGACAAAAGGATGTTCTAGTTCCCAGGAGCCCCGGTGGTACTGCCAGTTAGGCATCGGACTGCTAGCCGCAAGGTTGACCATTCGATCCCCCCAGCCATTCCATGGGAGAAAAATGAGGCTGCTGCTTCCATAAAGATGCAGTCCATAGAGAGTTAGTGTGGGCCATACCTGACTAGGTACCAGTGGGGTCTTTAGTTCTCATCTTCTCGAAAACCCACTAAAGGAGTGGGTACAACCAGCATTTAGCAGTTAGGTGAAGACCTAGATGGAGGGAGTTCCGTCTTCTCGTGAAGTCATGTCAGACCTTTATAAGAAGAGCCAGACTGGATGGAATCTGTGTGTTCTTTACCTGCTGTCCTTGGTAGTTAATCCTCTGCTACCTCTCCTGCCTCGGGCTCGGGCCTGTCAGCTGTGTACACTGGCTGCTTTCCTCTTTCTGAGCCATTGGAGAGCGGGTTGCTTAAGCCGTGTCCTTTGCCCTTCAGTACCAGACAGGGGATGTCTTAATTCCAGGTGAGGAAATGGTATGGGGGCCACATCTGACCTGCTCCAACTAAACTAGGGAAAAGGCAAAGCCAATTGCCAATCTGCTGAGGATGATTCGTGTGAAACAGGTAAGGCGTGCCTCCTCCGCCCTATTCTGACGTCAGCTGCGCCTCCCACGACGCCGTTCTCTACTGGGTCTGATGGCCCGCTGCCATGGCCGCACACAACGCACAGACAATGGTTAGGAGAGTGTATCAGGGAAGCTAACCGATAACCAAGACAAGTCAAAAGAACATCCAGAAGATCGAAGATAACAACACACTTGTGTTCATTGTGACTGTCAAAGCCAACAAGCACCAGCTCAAACAGGCTGTGAAAAAGCTCTGTGACATTGACGTAGCCCAGGTTAACACCTTGGTCAAACCTGACGGTGAGAAAGAAGGCATATGTTCGACTGGCTCCTCACTGACGTTTTAGATGTTGCCAAGAGAATCGGAATCGTCTAAACTGAGCCCAGCTGGCTAGTGATAAATATAAACTTTTTCAATTAAAAATAAAACAAAAACCCAGCATCAAGGATACGATCCCTTTTGCCCTCATCCACAGCAGTGTTTCTTCTCAGCCATGGGAGTCAGTCGGCACATTTCTTTTGCTGTCTTAGCCTCCCCGCCGGGTGCCTCCTTGCTTGGCCAATGCTCTTAAGCTGCTTTACTGGTGACGCATGCCTATAGGACCCCACCCTGCCAGCCAGCCTCCTGCCCAAAGGCACTCTGCTTTACTGTGGGCTGGCGAGCCCACCCCTAGGCCTCACAGTCTGGGGACTGCATCTCTGGGGACTGCGTCTCTGCTGCCCTCCCACACTGGTACCTGGGACTCCTTCACTTCTGGCGTGGTGCTGGTGGGATTCTCTCTTCCTGCTTCTGGAATGGCTAGACGGATCGATCCCCTTGAGTCTCTAGCCCTTACTTGCGTGATCTCACCTGGTCATTTGGTGGTAGTCACACCGACGGAGGAGGGCTTAGGAGCCATGCCGAGTGATTGCACTTCCCTGCACCAGGACATTCATTCGCATAGACCACAAACAAAGCAAAACTCACAGTGGCCCCGGAGGACAGGGTAGAACTGTCCCTGTGGGTTTCCCAGGCTGTAGCTCTCCATGGGAGCAGGAAGCCTCATCCTTTCCTCTGGGAGCCGCTGGTGGTTTCAAACCGCTGACCTTGCAGTTAGCAGCACAAGGCGTGACTCCTCCACCACCAGGGCACCTGTCTTAGAGGATACACTGATCAAAGGAAGGGATCGTGGCCTACTCTATTCACCGTGGTCATCATTCACCAGTGCTTTCCTGGTGACCTTCATCTCGAATTACATGTCCTGGTCCTTCAGTCTCCTCTTTGTCCTAACAGATTGCCGTGGCTGCCTCGGCTTTGACACTTGAACTGTAGCAGGTGCTTTCATCTGTTTCTTCGTCGTGATATGCAGATTTGTAGTAGAGCTTAAATTGGAGCACCTTGGTTTGCAAAGGTATGGGTGGTAGTAATGGTCCAAAATCCATTTGCGAAGCCCCGATGTACATCGCGTCACCACCCTTGAATTCTTTCGGATCGCTACCCAAGGACAGAGATCATCTTGTCTGGCAGAGTTCCTGTGGGGCGTGAATTGCCCGCCCAGGGAGGGGCAGTTTCTCACAGAGGGGTTGCCCAGGAGCGTCTTCGATGGAGGTCATTGCACCGGGACTGTGTACAGGGTGACGTCCGGAGTCCCCTCTTGCTCAGGAGGCCTCCTTCCTCTGGATAATGCGTCTGTGTTTTGGTTTTTGTCTCTTTTAAGGCTTAGTAAATGTTCTCTCTAAATTCAAAATGGAGTCTCTTTCTACCCTAAAACAAGTTTATACGTCTCTGAAAGGAAGACCACACAGGTGATGTTCCCTTCAGTGTCTCACACGGGCGGGCATATCCTGATGGTCACGCTGGACAGGTTTCGCCACTGGGAAATGGACCACAAGGGGGGTCCAAGCACACACACACACACACACACACACACACACACAAGTTGACCCTGCTGTATGATAAAAGAGCCCTAATAGTGCAGTGGTTCGGTGCTCTGCTGCTCACCGCAAGGTTGGCTGTTTGAGCCTATCCGCTAACTACTCACAGGGGAAGGTGTTTTCCTGTGAGTTGCAATCCACTTGACAGGCAATTGGTTTGTGAACGTCAGACTTCTTCGCCCCTTAATTGATGATGCAGGTGGCGTTTGAGAATAGCAGAATTACTTGAAAAAGAAAGAAATAGAAACACTTGGGGCGGGGGGAGGAATTCTCTCTTCATTTTATTTTTCTGCGAAATAGAAACATGTTTAAAGTCTTTGCTTTTTGCCAGACTGAATGGGATTGTCCCCGGGAGCTGCTGCCTTGGTTTTATTTTCACTTGTTTTGATTTGATTTCTGGTTTTTGGCTTGTGTCTTCTCTATCCTGCTAAAAGAGCCCCGGTGGCCTAGTGGTGAACCACTGAGCTGCTGCTCACGGCAAAGTCAGCAGTTGGAAACCACCAGCTGCTCCAAGGGAGAAAGATGAGGCTGTCTGCTCCCGTAGAGTCAGAGTCTGGGAAACCCGAGTTCTGCCCTGCCCTGTGGGGTCGCTGTGAGTCATAACTTGATTCGATGCGGGAACTTTTGGTGCGGTCATGCTGAAGAGGAACGACAGGGGGGCTTGCTTTTGGAGACAACCAACTTGTGCTGGACGGACAGCAGTGGGGGACAGCGTTGGGACCAGGGTTGCTGCTGAGTGGCTCCCGAGCTGCACACCCTCTCTCTTGAAATGGCGATTCTACGTTGACCTATAACACCAGCCAGGGGTGACCCGATTGTGCAAGAGTCTAGGTTATTGAACTTGGGTGTAAAGCTGTGTCATCACTTCTGCTGAGATCCTCGCCTTATCTCACCACCACTTATCTCTGGGGAGTTTGCCGCCGGCCGCTCTCAGGTCTTAGAAGTGGTTGAAGGTTATCACTGAGAGATCTTTCTCCTTTACCTATTTCTTTGGTCTTCCAAATCCCCAGATCTCTAATATTTTAAAGCAGATCTAGTATAGGAAACTGATATGGATAGAGAGTATTGGGGGGACGGGGGACAAAAAAGGGGGCCCGTGGGACTTCTCTAGAATTTCTTGATGTAGGCAGTTTCTCGGCCATGTTCTCGCTCAGCTCCCCTGCACTGAGCTGACTGGCCCTCAACGACCCCTGGGGGAGGGTAGAACTGCCCCGTGACTTCCCGAGACTGTTCGCCATTGCGGGAGTGGAAAGCCTTGTCATTCTCCCAAGGAGCAGCCTGTGGTTTGCAACTGCTGCCTTTGGGCATCCCAGCCCAATGCGTACCCAAGCTGTCACCAGGGTGCCTGCTGTCACATTAGTTACCTTTAGTTTCATCAGGGGTAGGAGGTGTGGTTTGCTTTCTGGCAAGGGCCAGTTGGGCTTGTGGCTGGTCACCGTTAGGGGGGATTCTTGGGTGGTGCCGTTCGTACTCGAGTAGGGGTGGGGGGAGGGCAGGGGTGCAACGAATGACTTCATGCCCCACCCTGT